AATAAGTAGTATAAATATGTACACTATATACAGATGTGATCATGATGTTCCATACATTGCACAGGACACAGCAGGAGGTAGTGGCACGGTGTAGAAATAAATATAATTGCACAGGACAAAAATATATATAAACAGCAGTGTAATTTAAAGGTAATCTAGGCTATAAATAAGGCTATGAATATACAGGACAGGTTTAATCTTAATGTGCGTCTCAAAAACCATAGATGTATAATTCATCTTTGACAAGCTCCTTTTGGCTGTAGCCGATCACATGTTCACATTTGATCACAGAAACAAATTGTATAGCAACCGTGATCAGAACCCAACAACAGCATGCTACACTTACCTTGGTGATGTAAGAGGAACAGGTTTTAGTGATGACATTATTTATCTTAATTTATAATTTTTTAATAAGAAATTCATGAATTGCTGTTCAAGTTGGCTGATAACTGATTATGAAATCCCCTTACTGGCAGTGAGGCTTTGTGCTTTGAGTGCCCACCCAGCAGTATGCATGTGTGAAGTGTGTGCATTCTTTATACAGTGAAGAAGTTGCTGTCTCTCATTGTATCTGTTGAACTCAGTGACCGACTGCAGCGACACTGTGGCAGGTAGAGTCTGAGGTTAAATCTGAAAGTTTGTGTTGTATGGTAAGAGGAAGTGAAGCCTTTCAAAACAATGGTTAACCGCTCGCTGGTCTCACTATGTTTATGTCTAGTAACACAGCTGTGTGCTACAGTGAGGCTAACAACACGAGAAAGAAGCAACAAATAAAGATAGTGTGAATGTTTTGTTAGGCAGCATTCTCACTAGAATATAATTTATTATAAGTTCTATTATTGTTTGAAAACTCAAGCACAGTCACATTGGCAATATTTAGCCATTTAATTAAAGTTGATTAATTTCTAAGTTGCAGTTTTAGCAATGTTGGTATGAGAGCTGAAATGATTAGCTGATTAACTAGTCGACCAACATCAAATTGGTAAACTGGTAATTAATTGTTTGAGGGATGCCAGTTCCAGCTTCTCAGTTATAAGAATTGGCTGCATTTAATATAAAATCTAAAATGACAAATGTCTGGAAAGACACTTCCTCTCTCAAACAATTGATGGTTTGTCATAATTCCTGGTTCTCGGAGGTGCTGCAGCCCCCTAAGTACCGTTACTTCCCATATCCAGTATGTGCATAAATGTCTGCATTGTTTTTCACTACTGTATTGCTTTAAGATGACTTTGAAAAAAATGCTATTTAATACAATTTGTTTCTTAAACCCCTGTTAACATCGTCCTCACAGCAAACCCCTCATCCCACACACTGAAGTTAAACCTATTTTGTGCTATCATTGCTTCATTGGATTGTAGCTTGAGATGTTTGGCAGAAATATTGCATTCTGGTTTGGACATTAGAAAACTGTCAGCTTTAACAAAACACTGAATCTCTGAGTGCCAGGTCCAAAGATACTATAGACTTTACTAAGAGAGGGGACTTTGGTGAAGTTCACTTAAGATCAGTATCTGAAGTGGAAGGAGGCTGAGACTGAGGCTGAGGTGGGGCATCTAGGAAAGAACTACTTGTAATTGATCTCTGCAAAAACATGTTCACACAAAGTAAATGCAGTCATAATTTATGAAAACAGCTCATGTTGTTAATAGGGAAACTCCCAATGTTGGCACGTGTTATTCATATCAAACCAAAACAGTAATACACATAGACTATTTTACACTGCCACTGCCGGACACGTTTAAATCAAACAGATAGTTTGTTCCTCCTCCATCAACCATTGAAAGCCGTAATCTGTCAGTTATGACCTTGAACGTATGAGGAGCTTGATGGAAGGATCGGGCTGTATTAGCACATTCTGACTCAGGACTAACTGGGCCGAAAGAACGAGATCAGTGCCTGACGGGAGAGTCAAAGTCACTAGTTTTATTGATGATAAAGGTTGAAATTCATGTGGAAAGCCTCATGAATGACATCACTGTTTTCTAAAGGTATATTATTCAATATTGATAAAGGCTGAGGGACATGGATTGATAGAATATTTTTTATGAGTGGGTGTGAAAGCTTTGGTCCCTGGGGTCTGTTAAATGCCTGCTTTCCAGTGGCACATTTAATCAATGTTCCGCCCTGTGGTCTCCCACTCGTTCTGGCCTAATGGCCGCCAACGATTTGTCATTACATGTCCCGGATTGTTAGAGCACCCCTGACATGTGGATGTGGCTCATAGATTGTATGTAATGCCACTTACCTGACGCTGTAGATTGACCCTGCTGTGGTCATTTAGATAATGAGCAAATCTCTTCACAGTGGCCGGCCCTGCCGTAAGCACAGGCAATTTCCTGCAATCTTCCACACACACTAATATGTTTCTCTCCCTCTCTTTCTTCAGTTTTTAATCTTGAAATTGGAAAGGCCGGCGATTGTTCAGAGCATCACCTTTGGGAAGTATGAGAAGACTCATGTCTGCAACCTGAAGAAGTTTAAAGTGTTTGGTGGGATGAGTGAAGAGAACATGACAGAGCTTTTGTCCAGGTGAGATGTGGCTGCTTATACCAGTCCAACAGTTTATTTTCAGTGATTATTGAATTTTCAGCAGCTTCAGTGTGAAGTTGGAGTGCAATTTGCAGCATTCCTTGTTATTTTGTGAGAGAAATGGGGATTGTTTGTAGCTTGTTGGGGGTGAAGCACAGCCTGGCAGTAAGGCCTGCCGTAGAAGATCACTTAAAGGGGGAACTTTTTTTTTTACCCTAGTCTTAATCACTAGAAGTGCCCGAGTACTGTCGATAGAAAACAGAACGACCAGAATTGGTTCTAGCAAACTGGAGTTCCTGCAGCTAATGGCCAGAGCTCCCAGTTAGTTATAATACACTTCTTGGGGGCATCTCCTAAAGA